TTGAGAACATGAAAATGTAAAAAGACACGACATAAACTAAACTCGTGCTAGGAGATAATATGAGATGAATCTAGATATTGTTGAATTGAACGGCAGATTCGAACCCCAGACTTTGTTTTGCAGTCAGTACTAAGTACCTTATTCACCTCACTATTCCATTATGAAGTAATTTCTTTTGAAATTAATAATTTTTTTATTAATTTTCCTCTAACCTAGTTGACTGTTTTCCTGGGCATCCTCACAACGTCCGACGACTCTAATGATAGCTCTTCCAGCCAATCGGGCGCAGATCATCATCGCAGGCGCCCTAGGGTCTCCCTCCTCCGCCTCCGCGGGCATCCTGGCACCTCCGTATTCAGTCGGTGGCCTCATCACTGCACTTGATGTCACTTGACACTACTGCACTACCAAGTCCTTGAGTAAATACACAGTCTATCACTGGAGCATACGAGCATACACCGCCCCGAAACGCAACGCGCCTGGCAGAGCGGCAACCACCTTTAGTATTCGAACGCGGTCGCTGCGTCAGCCTTTATACCGTCGCCAAAACAAAGAAGCGTGGCGCGGGAGGGAGAGAACAACAATAACAATTTGCCATCTCGCTCGCGCTGTTCCCTGCGCAGTTTGCACGCAGGTTGATTTCTCGCGGAAGTACCAAGGAAAATTTATCGTGAATCCCGTCACAAAGAGAATTAGTTTCCCGACTTAAATTAACGATGATCCCGAGTGTGATTCGGGACAGTATTTTGTCACGTCTCCAAACAGCTGCTGTTGTCAGCATTTTCCTTATCTGATTGCCTTTGTTGTTTGTATCGATACTATCATCATTGACTGAATCGTTTGCCATCTTACGATAATCGCACTCCAAGCATCATAAATTTAGAATACCGCGGCAGCGACTTGGGGTCATTTATGCTGTTAAGTCTTCTTTGGAGATACTCTAAAGAGTAGGTACTCCCTATACTCTAGAATGGTAGACCATTGTGTATTTTAAGAAAATAAAGCACAAAAAACATTTTCAAACCTGAATGAAGCCATCCTTGAAGCAATGAACACCTATAGAAAATTTCCCATTCATAACAAGCACGACTAAAACTATAAAAGCATTGTATATAAATTCAAGGCCGTCATTATGAAACGTTTCATTTACAATTGTACAACAAATTGTGGTAGAGATAGAGAAGAAAAATTAGATTGCTGAATGCTATTACTATCTAAGTATTAATTTTTATGAATCAATTTTCAGGTTTAAAGGTCGACTTCTGAACCATTATGGTTAAAATTCAATATTTTATTTTAAATCGCTGTAGTTAAGTATTATGAAAGTTTAGTCAATTTCGTTTGTTACCATTGTATAGCTTTGAATCCTCAACCATGCATCGTTACACTAATAGCTTCGCTTTCTCCCTAAACAACGCACAAAACGTATTTTATATAAGAAAGCGGCAAAACAATTCCACGTGTAGTTGATTTCTCTAAAATAGAGTTTGGATAGCAATATAGTTTTGGTTCAAATTAAATCGGAAAGCAACATAACCTATCAAAGAACTTTGCCAAAGAGTGGAAGTAAGATAATATCAATTACGTGAAGTAGAGATAGGAATTGTGAATTAATCTAGCTATAAAATAGTTTAAAACTACCTTAATAATTAATGGACAAGGCAACACTACCGAGGATACTACTAACACGTTAGGATTATCAAAGAGCCTCTATATGCTGTTTGTAAATCTGAACAGCTGTTCGCCTTTGTTGAGAATTTTATACAATGAATATCTAATTAGTTTGTATTATTTGCGTTAATTTTAACTTTGACGTCTATTATGTCGTCTTAGAGCGAAATGTTTTTGTGTTACGGCCAAACAGAGACGCAAATTTTCAATTTTAGCAACCTTGAACGATTGCCAAGTCCGCGACCCGAGTCCCGTGCTCTACGTATAGAAAACTGTCTAATAACGGAAGGTAAACAGTCTTGTTAGGACAACAGATGTTAGGCTAAAAACTTTTCTGTTGTGCGCAACAATTTTTTTCTTCAAAGCTAACATGATTAATATTACAATGTAAATATACATTACCCTATAGACAAATATTAAGTGTGGAAAAGTATGTAAGGGTCTTATTTACACGCACACATGCTGGCCTTGTTGTATCCCATTGGTGGAAGCAGATTACATTGCACTTGCATTGATAATTTGCGTAGAACCATACTTGTTGGTAACCTCAAAGCGATTTTAAAGGCGGATTTCTGTACATTTTTATATCGTTAGGAGTTCTAGCAAATAGTCGAGCACTAATTAAATGATTAGAACTCTAGGATCTACTATCTGAACTAAAAAGACATTAACTTTGCAAAGTTTTCTTCACGAATTATATGCTGCATCTTAAGCGCAATCTGCCGACCTCATTTCACGCAATGACCTGCGAAATTTTCCGTCCTAATGAGACCACTGACATTTCGCAGAAGTTTTTCTTGTTCACCGACAAGTGTATAGAGGTCGAATCCTTTGTGCTATTTCAGGAAAATTTGG